GTATCCTGCCCCACCTGGATGGACACTCTCCTCTCCCAGGGCCAGGCTCACATTCAGCCCCGTGCCAGGCGTTGTGAGTTTCTGTGGTGGGTGCCTGGACCCTGTTCCCTGAGCGCTTCCTGTTCCCTGAGCCCCTAATCAGAGCTCTCGCCCACCTCGACTGGGTGCCCCATGGGCCCTGAGGGGGAAGCTTTGAGGTGCAGGGGAGAGACTATGACTCCATGCCTTCAGATCCTGCCTTTGGCCACTTGCTACCGAGCCTTGCGGGCATAGTGGTTGGCGTTGGGCCTCTAACCACAAGGAGGGTGTTGTTCGGGCCCCTAGTTGGTCCCCTAGTCGGTCCCACCCATGGTGACCTTATGCGCACAATGAAACCCTGCCAGCTCCTATGCTACCCTCCCCATTGTTCTCCAATGCTGGAGCCCAGTGTAGCAGCCAGCGTGCCACTCCAACTCCTTGAGGGACTTCCTCTCCTTCGCTGCCCTGACCATCCATGATCGCTTTCTCCAGGAACTGCTTTCTTCTGACAACACAAGGTCAGCGGTTTGAAACCACCAGCCTCTCCAGTAGAAGGATGAGGCTGTCTACTCCTGCAAAGAGTTAAGCTCCACCTTGTCCTACAAGATCTGTGCTTCGGCATTGACTCAATGGCAGTGAGGTTTGCTTTTTTTTTTTTTTGCCCTCACCTAGAAAGTGGTGACACATCTTTGAGTCCCTAGGTAGCACAAAGGCATTTGCAGTTTAGCTCTAAACAGAAAGATGGGAGGTTCGAAGCCACCCGGTGGTGCCACGGAAGAAAGACGTGGCCACCTGCTTTCATAAAGATGACAGCCAAGAAAACCCCATGGAACGGTTCAACGTGGTAACACTTGGGATCCCAATGAATCAATCCACTTGAGAACAACCCTGTGACCCCGGGTTGTTGAAAGAGGACCTATGCTAATTGGAAGTTCTTAATATTTGGAACTCACCTGTGCCCTGGTAGTAGCTGTACTTCTGGCATTTGTTTCTTTTCTTAGGTGGTGATGTTCCGCTGTAGCCTGACTTCCCTTTATATCCTGGTTTCCCTTTGAAGGATGGCCTCCTTCCCTGGGTGGTCAGATCTTCTTGCATCTTTGAAAGATCAGTGTCTACTGAAGACACCCGGTCTGATTCTGAGTCCGAATCTGTAGCCCACTCAAAAAATGTCTTCCATTCTGCAGCAGATCGCTGTAGGGATAGTTCTTGTAGTTTTGTTAGAAATCCCCACTCGTTGAAAGCGCGTTGCTGGGACCTGGCTGAGAATGTAGAGGTTTGCTGGCTGGTAGGGTCGTATTCTGGTTCCCATCTCTCTCCAGTTGTCGTAGATTCACTCTGGGCCGAAGAACCCCTTTTGGGCGCAGGCCTGGGTTGAATCCTAGGAGGTGATTCAGTTGCAAGTTGAGCTAGAGGTGACTTTAGGGACCTAGGTCCAGGCTGGGCCGTGGGTTCATCTCTGAGTTCTGGTGCTGGGTGGAGTGTAAGATCTTTTCCTCCCTGATTTGAGGCAGCTTCCTGTTGAGTGAAGGGCTCCTCTTGGATGGAGGGTGATTGTTGGGATGCAGGCTCTTGTGGGGTTCCAGGTTCTTGCTGGGATTCTGCTTCATGTTGGGCAAGGGGCTCCTGCGGCGAGAGGAGGGGTCTTTGCTGAGAAGCAGGCTCCTGTTGACTATTGGATTCCTGCTGAGTTTTAGCTCCTGGCTGGGTCATGAGTGTCTTCTCAGGCCCAGGGTCTGGCTGGATGTTGGCTGTCGGTGGCTCAGGTTCTCAGTTGGATTTGGAGACTGAGTTAGAAGTTGGCTCCACTGTTCTTTCTCTCACAGGAGATGTTATTAGCCTAGATTTCATGCTTTAAGGTCCTCCAGGCCTCCCTGTTCAAAGCTCCCTCGTTGGTTTCTCATGATGACACCTCTCTTTGGGCTCTACTTCATCCTCGACATCCCTGGTCTCTCTTTTTTTTAAGGCAGTTGGCAAGTGGACTGACCACTGCAGGCCCCTCTACTTTTATGCCTCTGACTTTGAGAGGGGAGGGATTAGGAACAAGGCTGTGTGTGTGTCCAGCACTCTCCTACCAGTGGGGTGGGGCTCGCCCTCTTGTGTCATAGATAGGGCCCTGCCCCACCCACCTCTCAGCTAAAATGTTTTTTCTCTGTAGGCAGACACCTCACTTTAGCCCTGAGTTTCATCTGGGGCTGCATGTGTTTCACCAGGTCTGCATGCGTGTCTGTCCACACCCTTCACCTGATGTTTCAGGAAAAGGTCAAAGGGGAGGCAGTCCAAACCCTAGTAATACCTCCTCCTCTTTTCATTCATTCTTACAAATGGCTGCCAGTGTCATCTCCATGTATTCCCACTTTGATCAGTTCACTCCCACGAGGTCCCAAACCATGAGGTCCTCCCATTCTTAACACCTGGATGCCCCTTCAAGGGGCATTTGAGACCCTCCATACCATCTCTCAAGGAGCCCTGGTGGGTTACGTGTTGGACTGCTAAACCCAAGGTCAGCAGTTGAACCCACCAGCCACTCAGCAGGAGAAAAATGAAAATATCTACTCCCATGAAGATTTAGTGTCGCAGAAACACCAAAGGGAAGTTCAGCTCTGCCTTATAGGGTTGCTCTGAGTCGGAATGGACTGGGTGGCCTTGAGCTCAGTTTGGTTAGTTCGAGACCATCTCTCTAGCCTGGACGTAGGCTTCTGCATAAATTCTATATTAAGATGGAAACCCATGAAGTACACTGACCACTGATGGAGATGATCAAAGAAATCATAAACACTGAAGATTTTTCTAGGCTTGGAAGCTGGGGCAGATGTTTTATTTTTCAAAGCTATATGTGTTTTAATAAGACCATGTCTAATTTAACGCTATCCTGCTTGCTTTGGAGCACTGGTGGTGTTGGGCTGTTAACCGGAAGGTCAGCAGTTAGAAACCACTAGGTGCTCCTCGGGAGAAAGATGAGGCTTTCTACCCTAATAAAGAGTTACATTTTCAGAAACCCATAGTGCAGTTCCATGAGTCGCTCTGAGTAGTAGACTCGATGGCAGTGAGGTTGTAATTGTTATTTTGCTGTTTTCTTTGCCCCATCTACCTTTTGTTGGATGAATGAAAGAAGAAATCACTGGACATTGGAGAGAGAAGCGGAGTTGGGTAGGGGGAAGTAGGTGTAGACGGTGGATTGGACTTGGGGTGAAAACACTTGAGTGGGTCATCTGGATCAAATGGGAATTGCCAGGCCCTGTTAAAAAGCAAAAAAGTTGGCCATTTGGATTTACAAATATTTATTGATCTCTGTTGGCTCTGTGCTGAGCTATATTTACAGTCAGGTGAGACCAGCCAGGGAAGTGAGGGTTCCTGGATTCTTTTAGGTAATTAAGTGTGGGTAAGAGGAGAAAGGTGACAAGTAATGTCCCTAGGAAGGGTAATCAAAATGACCTTGGGGGAAATTTTTTTGGGGAATACTGGAACAATTTTAGCGGTGGTGGTGAGTGGAAAGGTTGGGGAACACGAGGTGGGAGAGGAGTATCCCCCAGGGTGTACTCTAAGAGGATTTGATTGGGAGAGTAGGTTCTCCAAGCTCCTAAAAGGGCAGGGCCAAGCTTGCCAGCTGGCACTGTTGGAGAAACTGTTGGCAGGCTCTGAAGTACTTGTTTGACTTCCTGTGGTGCCTTCGGTGCCCTAGGGTGAGAGGAAAGGGTAAGAGGTAGTTTAAAAAAAAGACATGTTCTAAACTTTCATTTGTAAACGCTTTTAAAGTGACGGACAATTGTCCGGTGGAGAAGATGAAAAAACTAGAAAAAAAAAAGAAAAATCTATCTTGTAAAACAAACATCCCCCATGCCAACCCTCTGCCTCAGGTTTTACTGTGGTTAATAGTTTGCCACATATTCACCCATCCTTCTTTGTATGTCAACAAATGTTTTATTGAAAAGAGATTATACTATACATATTGTTTTGTTCTGCACCTTTAAATCTGCTTTATTACTGCAAAAACATTACACAGGGCAGGGAGTCTATAAAATTTAAATGTACAGTGTAATAAATAGTGATAAAGCAAACAGCTATAAAAGCACTAACCAGGCCTCAAAATAGAATTGCTATCCTTCTTATTCATCTTTGAAAAAAATTATTTATTTTATGGGTTTTTTTTGGTTTTCTTTTCTGCTCACTACTCCCTACCCCCTCTCCCCGCAACCTCCCCCACCATTATACCAGTCATCCTGGCTTGTATAATCATTATTTGCTTTATTGTTTTTAACCACCTACATAGACACTCCTAAATAAAGTTGCTTACATCAGCCTGTCTTTGAACTTTAAGCATGCTGTAGGTAGTCTCTTGTGACCCCTGCCCCTGCCCTTGTCCCTAGTGCGCTGGTAGTCAAAGGATCTCTGCTGGCATAGTGGTTACGAGTTGGGCCACTAAACTAGCAACCACAAAGCTAAAGGATGGATGAGGAGGGGGCAGGCGGGGAGGAAGAAAACCACATACAGTATATGGGAGGTTTAGCAGGATATTGTTGATTTCATTTCTTAAGATGGGTTGTGTAAATATATACAATATATTTCTTTAAAAACAAACAACCAAAAGTCCTTCCAGATTCCTTATCCCTCAAACCTGAATAGTGGTCCAAGTGGCTAAAAACATAAAAAAGGGAAAAAGTAAGACTGAAATGGACTTGGAGTCTTTAGTGACAAACATGTTCATCTGGAGAACAAAAAAAGAGTCTCTGTCTTAGAAACCCACAGGGACAGTTCTGTTCTGTCCCTTAGGGCCACTGTGAGTCGGGACTGACCCCATGGCAGTGCTTCTTTGCTTTGGGTATGATGGCAAGACTCATCTCTGAAGGTGTTAACTCATTCTCACTGATATTCTAATAGACACAATTCCTTTTAGCCATTTTACTGTTGATAAATGTTTGGTTAGTTTTATGTTTTGGGCAGTTATGAGCCATATTACTATACAATTCTTATTCACGTCTCCTGGTGTACAGTGAGTTATGTGTTGGGGTGCTAACTGCACGGTCAGCAGATTGAACCCACCAGCTGCTCAGTCGAAAGATGAGGCTTTCTACTCCTGTCATAAGGATGTACAGGCTCAGAAACCCTAGGGGGTAGTTCTACCCTGTCCTATAGGGTCGCTATGAGTCAGAACTTGAAGGCAGTGTGCTTAAAAAAATTGTTAGGGATTGAGTTGTGGGGACCCCCCCCAAATCTGTGTTGTAATTCCTATGTATGTTAATGAGACTGTTAGTGTAGGGTGTGTTTTAAACCAACCTCTTTTGAGATAGATTAAGCAAACAAGCAAGTACAGAGGAGAAGACAAGCTTAATGCCACATTCTCTCTAAGGAACCTCGAAATAGAAACTGAAAAGAGCAAGGATTTTCCCTTAGGGGAGGGAGGGAGCAAGAGAGCGAGGCGAGAGAACCTCTCCCAAGTGTCAGTGCCTTGAATCTGAATTTCTAGGCTCCTAACCTGTGAGAAAATAAATTGTTGTTCATGAAAGCCATCCACCTGGAGTATCTCTATTATAACAGCACTAGATAACTAAGATAATACGCATGAGCATGAACATTGTTATGTTCTATCCCCTAGCAACACTTGATATTGTCAGAATTTAAAACTTTTGCTAGGCTGATGACTTAGTGGTTTTTTTGGTTTTTTAATCTGCGTTTTCTTGATTACTAATGAAGTTGAATGCCAATTCATAAGTTTGGTAGAGATTTGCATTTCCTCGTCTGTGACTTGCTTTTAAACGTCTTTTACCCATTTATCCATAGTATCCTGTATACTAATCCTTTGTTGGTTAGATATGTGGCAGATGCTCTCTCTTGTTCTATAGTTTATATTTTGTTCTTTTAATGACCAACATGCTTAAATTTCAACGACAATAGATGTATAATTCTTTCCCTTTAGACTTCATTGTAACTATTTTTCTTTATGATTTGTACTTTTGGCATTTTAAGAAATCCTCCCCTACCCCAAAGCTGCTACCCCATATTTTCCTAGATTCCTTTCTACAATTGATTTTTGTGAAGAGTAAAAGTAGAGGCCGCTGCATTTTTTTCCACTCAAAATACTGTGGCAGTCTCTCCTGTCCACATTATTTTTAGCAACTGTAGAATTGTCCAACATTCTTAATAGCCCTGAGGGAATAGTGGGCTACACACTGAGCTACTAATCACAAAGTCAGTGGTTCTAATCCCCAAGTCACTCTGGGAGAGAAAGAGGAAGCTGTCTGCTCCCACGAAGACTCATAGTGTCAGAAATCCACAGGAGTGGCCCTACTCTGTCCTGTAGGGGTTGCTATGAGTCAGCAGTGGATTTTTAAAAAGACACTTATAATTTCTGCATATTTGTTACATTACACACTGCTATCATGAGTATTCTTGCACATACATCTTTGAGTATCTGTACCAGTAGGGAGGATTTCCTGAAGGATGATTACTGGGTCAAAAGGAGCACACATTTAACATTTTTATCAGTACTGTCAAATTGAATTTCACTTCCATCAACAGTGTCTGATGAGCCTGATTGGTCCCACCCTTGGTGACATCCTAAAGTATCGGTCAGTTCAATCATCGCCAACAAAATTACGTAATAGTTAAAAGCTGCCAGGGAAAAATAAAACCCAAACCAAACCCACTGCCATTGAGTGGGTTCCCATGCCTAATGACTCTACAAGACAGAGTAGAACTGCTTCTGTGTGTTTCTGACATGGTCACCCTTTAACTGAGTAGAAAGCCTTGTCTTTCTCTAGCAGAGCAGCTAATGCTTTTGAACCACCGACCTTGTGGTTAGCAGCCCAATGTTTACCCAATAACATCACCAGGGCTCCTGAGGGAAGACACAAACTCTGTTTGATTGAAAATGGCACCATCTTCAGGATCAATAACCAGCCCCTAATAGTCCTGCCTCCCTCCTCTTTGACATTCAGAGGGTTCGTAAATCCAGGAATTTAGTTCAATGGTCAGGGGAATGGTATCTTACCTTTCTAGCTGTAGGTAGTAGCCTCATGTGACCCCCTGCCTCTGCACCTAGTGATACGGTAGTAAAAGGAACCTTGTGGTGTAGTGGTTGCCAGTTGGGCTGCAAACCGCATGGTTGATAGCTCAAAACCACCAGCAGCTCCTCAGGACTGGGCTTTCTATTCCTGTACACAGTGACAGTCTTGGAAACCCACAGGGGTGGCTGAGTCAGCATTGACTGGGTGGCAGTGAGTTTGGTTTGGTTTTGGCTCCAACCAAACCAAGTCAGAGGAGCCCTGGTAGGATAATGGTTATGGGTTGGGCTGCTAAACCCAAGGTCAGTAGTTCCAAACCACTAGCCACTCGTGGGAGAAAGATGAAGCTTTCTACCCCTGTAAAGAACTATAGCCTCAGAAACCCACAAGGGCTGGCGACGAGTCAGCATTGACTAGATAGCCGTCAGTTGGGGTTGGTTTTGTTTAAGTTCCCCACAAGCTGGCGTTGGGTAGGTTGGGCTGAAATAAGCGTTTCTTCTGGTCTTCGTCTCACCTCTCCTGTCTATCCTCAACCCCAGCTTCAGCCTTTGTGATTACGCAGAGTGGCGCTGGCTTAAGGAAGGTCATTTCCTTGAAACTTACTGTTTTTCTTCATGTTGCTCATGAAGTGATCGCAGGGACACTGTTTCTTTGGCGACCCGAGCACTGCCAATGCCATAAATTTTCCTTTAGGGAGTTTCTGGAACTGGTCTGTAATCACAAGGTGGCTGGTTAGAGGAGAGAGTTCATTTGTTCCGGAGGAGAGAGCAGGCTGTGGCTTTACCCACCACCTTCCTGGCTTCTCCCTCCTCTCTCCTAGGGTGGGAAAGGGATCCATACAGAGCCTTGGGGTAACTCAGTTCTCAGGGACCCCAGGACTTCTGAGCTCTTTTGGCCTGACCTGTACAGGCAAGGATTTGGTGGCAGGCTTGGAGGAGGACTTCAGGATATTGTTGGGGAGACCAGAGACAGGTGTCTGACTTGTAGCGGCTGTGCAACCTCACGCAAGCTGTTTTGTCACTGTAATTTGTGTCTTCATTGTGAGTAAAATAAGCTTGAGAACAGACCCAGGAAGATTTGGGAGAACTTGGAGGTAGGCGGTGGGGGTATAAAAACCTGTTGGAAGGTGGCTGCGGGTTCCTAGGAAAAGGGAGGAGGGGTGGAGCAGCCCAAGGCTCAGTCAGCTCTTCCAGAACCCAGGAGCAGGCCGCCAACACAGGGTGGGTGGGGAGAGGGGGAACTGGGTGGGGTTAACTCAGTATCTCTGAGGGATCTGGGGGTTTGGGGTGTGTGTGTTGATAATGCTGCAACTGCTGTGGTGGATGAAGTGATACTGACCTTTGCACTCACATTCTAGCCCGCCTTCCTGGAGCCGCCTTCCTGAGGCCTGGCGCTGGCCCCGGTGTCCTCTGGCGACCCCTGTTGGAAGGAAACAGGTCACTTCCAGGAAAGGGAAGGGGAGGGAGGTGTGGGAGTGAGGCATGAAATCCCATCATTGTGTCCCCTGGGTTAGCGCTGATCCATTTTTCTTCCCTTTTGACTCCAGGGATCTAGGTTTCTCAAGAGAGGTGTATTTTAAGTGGGGTAAAGAATTGATATTTAACATCTTGCCTGGAGCAAAGTTTACCTGGAGAAAGATGAACTTTTGAAAGGAAGAGAGGACCAAAGGTGGGGGTTAATTAAAACCTTACACCTTTCCATGCTCCCCCTCCCCCCATCACTTCTCAGCATTAAAATGCTATGGTTTAAGCAGGAATGAGAGCAAGGAGCAGATGATTCTATAAATCAGGACTTCCCCCATGACATTAAGGTTGCTGTATTTGAATCCATAGTTTACTACTCTAAACTCCAAAGTCACTGCTGTCCTGTCAGTTTTGACTCATAGTGACCTACAGGACAAGATAGAACTGCCCCTTTGGGTTTCTGAGACTGTAACTATGGGAATAGAAAGCCTCCTTTTTCTCCCGTGGTGTGGCTAGTGGTTTTAAACTACTGACCTTGCCTAGTACACTACTAGTGCTCCATCGTTCACTAAGAGGAGGGTGTTTGCCTTTAAAAAAAAAAAAAAATAATTTTATTGTGGGCTCTTAAATATATTATAACAGTCCATACATCCATTATATCAAGTGGACATGTACAATTGTTAGCGTCAACAATTTCTAAACATTATCTTTCTTCTTGAGCCCTTTGATAACAGCTCCTCTTTTTCCCCCCTCCTTCTCCCACCCTGCCACTCCCACAAACCCATAATATATTATGTATTGTTATTATTAATTATATATATCTCACATTGCCCGTTCTATCCCTTCACCTACTATCCTGATATTCATCCCCCTTGAGAGTTATTCTTCCCTCATTGCTATTTGTTCCCCCTTCCCCCGCTTCCTTTCCCTTCCCTTCCCCTACCTTCCTAGAATCTTTACTCTCTTTACTGATTCTGAGGGGATTTGTCTTTCCTAAATTCCGTGTATTGAAAGCTCTCGTCTGTGCCGCTGTATGTACACCAGTCTAGAGGGATTTGTGAAGTAGGACTGAGATCATAACAGTGGGGGAAGGAAAGATTAAAGAACCAGAGGAGTGCTGTGTATTTTCTCTGTGCTAAACTGCCTCCTGGGTGCATTTTCTCCGTACAACTCCTCTGCATAGGAATGTCCAATTGCCTTTATTTTTTCTGTAACAAAGGACATCCCTCTCTTTGCCCATGTCCCAGTCTGTCTGATCACTGGAAGCTGTCTTAGCCTCATTTTGTGGAGCCCCCCTGGTGTAGTGATTTATGCGTTGGATTGCTTACTTCAAGGTCAGCAGTTCAAAACCACCAGTCACTCCACTGGAGAAAGAAGGGGCTGTCTACTCCTATAAAGAGTTACAGTCTCAGAAGCCCACAGGGGCAGTTCTTCCCTGTTCTATAGGGTCTCGATGAGTCAGAATTGACTCGATGGCAGTGAGGGAGACACTATTTTGATGGCCATCAAGGATGCTGCTTTATTGACGTGAGGCTCTGGGGCTGGAAGAGGGGGGTTTGGATGATGCCTCCTCTGTACAGTAGTTTCGGATCTGTTGTGTCAGAATGGTCCCCATCATATTTGAATGTAGCTCTAGTGTTGAAAAATGGTCGTTGAGACTGTGTTGTTTCAAATCTGCCTCCCTGCCTAGATCAGGTTCCGGGCACATGGTCTAGGCACTCGATAGACGCTTGTTCAATAAGTGGTCAGATTAGTTGTCTGGAGAAGGCGCTCAGAAACCCTCAGGTTCCCTCTAGGTCTCCTATTTCCCGGACATCTGCCGCACTCAGAGCTTGTTGCGTCATTTCCCCAGATGCTAGTTTTCAGACATTCTGTGCTATTTTGAGTGCTGCTAAAGTAGTTTCAAGAGGCATTACCTCTGCCAGCTAAACTTTTCAAGACTATTACACCCTCTTGAACTCTACTCCTGGTTCCAGGGCAAACACATAAAAGCCTGCAGGAATCTTGTGGCCATTTAGTTGAAGCCCATCACTGAGGTGTGGGATACCAGGGGGCGGTTGTGTCGTGTTGTGTTGTTGAAGGGTAAATTAAAGAGACATCAGACAAGACAAAGCATGCAGGGTCTGTCTCACCTGCACCATGACTTCAGGAGCCAGGTCTGCTCAGAGAGAGCGATTAGATTTCCAACAGCAGCTTATATATACTCAGGGCATGCAACACCTACCCCCTACCCCCAATTACAGGTAACCACATACATAGCAAAGTGGACTGCACCCTTAACTCTAGAGATCCCTGAGTTCATTGGAGGAGTAACCTGACACCAGTGCTGGGGGGCAGGTAAGGGGAGTGACTGTCCCCTGAGCAGGGAGAGCAATAGCAACGTGTCTGCTGCTAGAGACCAAGCCGCCATCAGCCGTGTGGCTGTAAGAAGTAACTTTAAGGCAGCACTGTTATGGGAGGATATTGTGGCAATCAATCTTAGTTATGCGAATGTGATTGGGACTCATCTCTAACTCACAAGTGTGAAGGCCTTCCTCCACACCAGAATCCTAACCTGCCAGGCTTCTTAAAATATGAGAATAAAGAATTCATCTGCATACATGCTCTTCCCATCCCTCAGTTTCCCACACTGAGGTGTTTTTTTTGTGTGGAATTGCTTTCGACTCCTGGTGACCCCACAGTGAGAGTAGAACTGTACTCCACAGCATTTTCAATGGCTGATTTTGGGGGGAAAGTAGATCACCAGGCCCTTCTGAGTGGACTCAAAGGGATTTCTAACCTCTCAGTTGGCAGCTTGGTGCATTAGCTCTTTGCTCCATCCAGGGAATGTCATATTGAACTATATTAGAGGAAATTTGAAAAGTACAAACGGAAACATTCTTATCAATTAGTTGGTGTATTGATACATTTGTTTTTTTGCACAATATATTCTTTATATAATGATAACCATAGTATGTGAACACATTTCTATTTTACTGAATTCGTAATTCATCCTAGACAGTTTTAATGACTGTACAGCACTCCCAACAAGTATTATGTACACTCTAAATGATCTAAGTCTCTCCTATCGATGAATAGTTAGATGATTTCAGTTCGGGATGTTGTTGAGGGATTTCTTTGTGCCTGTCACTGTTTTCCAAATTTTGGATTATTTTCTTGGGATAGATTTCCCAAAGTAGAATTACTGTTTCTTGATATCCAACTAAAACTCCATTAAGCTAGCAACCCTATGGGACAGGGTAGAACTGTCTCTGTGATTTTCCGAGACTGTAACTGTTAACAGGAGTAAAAAGTCCCATCTTTCTGTTGCAGAATGGCTGGTGGTTTTGAACCGCTGAGCTTATTTTCAGCCCAATGTGTAACTACTATACCACTAAGGTTCCAGGTTTCTTGGCATCATTACCCAATTATTTTCTATAAAGGGTGTACTAGTTAAACAAGTCAAGTCACTGTCTCTTTTTCTTTTTTACAGATGAGGAAACTGCGGTGTAAGAAAGCAAGTTCACAAAGGTCATGGTGAGAAATCTAGAGCTCAGATTTGTGCTCTGTGGTTCTTTTTGCAGCTTCACGTGATATTCTTGGTGTTAAGTATGTAACTGAAAATACACAAATGTGAGACGAGGCGTTCGACGCCTGCATAGAGTCAGTCTTGGAAACCCACAGGAGCAGTTCTACTCTCTCCTAGAGGGTCACCATGGATCAGAATTGACTCGATGGCAGTGAGTTTAGTGCTGTTTTTGAACTGAAAAGGAAGCTGCCTGGTTCTGTAACATCAGATCCTCCAAACCACATTTAGGGACTATCTTTATGATTTTTTGCTGTAGCCATGTATCTGTCACCCATGCTCTTATTTATATCATGCTTCCCCTTCCACTGATTGTACAGCGTCTCACCCTGTGCAATATTACCTGTGAAGTTGTGGGGTTGCTGTGTGCTTTTATATCTTTCCAGATGGGAATTAAATAAGCATACAACTATTAACCCTGTAAGATAGGGTAGCATTGCCCCCTATGAGTTTCCGAGGCTGTAACTCTTTACAGGAGTAGAAAGCCCTGTCTGTCTCTCTTGGAGCAGCTGGTGGTATCAAACTACCTACCTTGCAGTTAGCAGTCCAATGCAGAACCACTGGGGCACTAGGGCTCCAGTGGGCTTAACTTTCTGGGTTATAGCTATTAAACCAAAAGAATAAATTCATGGTCCTTAAAATCATTTCTTTGGCAAACTCTGAGACAGTGGAACATGTGTGGACTCTGAACTCAGACAGACCTGGGTTTAACTGCTGGCTCCGTATCCTATCTGTGTAATCTGGCAAGTCCTGAGCTACCCCCAACGTACCTTCTCTGATGCTGGGTTCTTTGATCTGTAGAAGGAAGATGGTGACAACCACCTTGCAGTGTTGGAAGAAATAATTGAGCTTCTGTGTCCTGGGAGGCATCCAGCACTTAGGGACTTATAGTTATTTTCCAGAGGCCTTCTAGTTAGTGTCTGTGCTGGTGTGTTAGGCATGTTGCTCTTGGCTGGTTCATCTCTGTAAAGAACTTTCTGCCACTTGTTAGGACTTGTGGAGTAGCTCTCATTGTTTTCATCTCCCAGCCCCACTCCTACTAGCTTTTGTGATGTTGGACCTGCTGTTTTGTGTTTCTGTGCCTCACTCATGGCATTTGTGAAATGGAGCTAACAGTGTCCACGTCCAAATACATGGGGGTCCCTGGGGAGGCATGGGGGTCACACGCTTGGCTGCTAACCAAAAGGCTAGAGGTTTGAGTCTGCTGGAGGCACCTTCCAAGGAAGGCCTCCTTGCCCCCAAAACCAACCATTGGAAATCCTATGAAGTTAAAAAAAAAAAGAATATCCTATGAAGTTGCAGCATGGAGTCACCATGAGTCACAGTCAACTGGAGGGCAACTTTAAAAATTAAAAAGCAAAACCATCACTCCACCTCACTGCCATCAAGTGGATTCTGACTTTTCAAGATGCTATAGGACAGAGTGGAACTGTCCCTGTGGATTGCTGTGCTGTCAGTCTTTACAGAAGCAGACAGACTCATCTTCTCCCAGTGGAGCAGCTGGTGAGTTCCAACTGCTGACTTTGTGGTCCACAGCCCAATGCGAAACCCATCATGCCACAGGGCTCCTTTTCTTTTCTTTTCTTTTTTTTTTTTGAATTGTACGCTCTTTAGTTTTATCCTGTTAGGTACAGATATGATTTTTCTTATACACCCCACCGTCATCCAGCTGATTCTAACTCAGTGACCCTATAGGGCCGAATAGAACCGCTCCTGAGGGTTTAGATTGTTTTCTACCTAGGCTCACGCTTTTCAGCTTTGTCCACCAGAGGGCCTAGGAGGAACGACTCCATTAACTTATGTGTAACCACGCAGTGCGTAAACACCGTTCTCCAGGAAAAGGAACCAGGTCTCCTCGGAGAAATGAGTGATGCCAGGACTAGGGTGAAGAAAGACTAGTGTGTGACGAGGCTGGAACATTTGTGCTGTCAGAATGTAAGGAGCTGCTCAAAAGATGAGGAGGATAAGTCACAAAGGCCCAGGGGCCAACTTGAAGGAGCTCTCCATGGTCAAATCTGAGACAATATGAGCGATTTAATAGCTAATTATAATAATGGATGATAATCTGTATATATATATCTGTATATATCTATATATATCTTTGAGTCCACACTGATATAAAGTAATAGGTGAACAAATATAAATATAAATTCTCATACAGTAATACTATACAAAAATTTCAGCTGTCTTGACCCCGAGACCTTTATACACGCAATCTCACATGCCCACTGTGTCTTTGACATGGAAGCTAAGGTTGGTTTTAGCATCTATCTGCCAGATATTAGTGGTGGCTTCCCTGGATCTGAGGATAAGAAGCTTACATTTGGAGAGATCATCAGTGTAACCAATCCAGCATCGGACAAGTATTTGCCTTCAGATTCTGGAGTGAAAAATCAGAGCTGAGCCAGTCAGATACTAGTTGCATCAGCGTTCACCCTTGCTGTAAATACCAGTGCCAAGAAAACTGTGTTAAAGGTACAGATAGGCTAAGATGATGAAAATTAAGTGAACGACCTCTATATTATGTGAATGATGCAGTATATGGGTTATTTAATTGCATCCTTCCTGATCATGCACTTGTAAAACCCCAAGAGATCCTGAGTTAATATCAGTAGTGATGAGAAATACCCATGCCATGCACTTTTTCACATATATGGTGCTCTTGGCTGCATTGCACCACTTCTGTGGTATTCCTGCCAGAAAGCGTGTAACCTGAACTTAATCATGAGGAAATATCAGACAAACCCGAAGTGAGGGACGTTTGACAAAAACAACAACGGAGAAGTACATTTTTAAAGGGTCAAACGCATGGAAGGCGAGGAAAGACAGATTGGAGGAGAACATGAGACACGTGACATACTCTGTAAGATTCTTGGATTCTGAATCAGAAAAAGGACCTTAGGGAGATAATTAGAAACATTTGAATCCTTAGATATTTATAGCTTGTTATTAGGTGTGGTTGCGCAGATTCTGACTCACAGCAGTCCTGTGCACTGCAGAGTGAAGCCTGCACTGTCTCGCACCACCATCACAATGCTGTTACATGGCAGCCATTCTGTCAGTCATCTCATTGAAGGTCTTTCTCTTTTTCACTGACCTTCCCCCTGACCAAGCATGGTGTTCTTTTTCTGGGACTAGGCCCCCCTGCTAACATGTCCAAAGTTTGAGAGGCCAACTCTTGCCATTGTCCAAGGAGCAATCCAGCCATACTTTTTCCAAGACAGATTTGTTTGTTCTTCATTCGTCTTTACTAATCCCATAATTCAAACGCTTCAATTCTATTTTTCCTCTACAAGGAAGCTCAATTTACTATTATAATCACAAAATCATACTTTCAATACAGAAATGTATACATGAACATTAATCAATACATTGATTAATTCACTTTACGAAGATCAGATAAACAAACTGTGGGAACATAGGATGTAAAGAAAACATCCTGTAAGGTCTGGAAAGCTTTGCTCCATTCACTCATGAAGGGCGACCTACTTTGTGGAGGTAGCTCTTTCCCAGTTGTGTTTTGAATGCCTTCCAACCAAGGGGCCCAACTATCTTCTGGCACGATGTCAGATAATGTTCTGCTGCTAGTCATAAGCTTTTCAGTGGCTGTATCTAAGAAATGGACCATCTATTGCTTCTTTCTAGTCCATCTTTGTCTGGAAGCCCGGCTGAAACCTGTTCTCCATGACCCAGCTTGTTTGAAATGGACGACAAAGCTTCCAGAATCACACCAACATGCAAGTCACCACAGTGCAACAAACTGACAGATGAGTGCTGGGCCTGCTATAAGAATACTCAACACGTAAGATATGACAAAATAATAATAATTTATGAATTATGAAGGGCTCATGAGGGGGGGAGGGGGGAGGGAGGGGGAAATGAGGAGCTGATATCAAGGACTCAAGTAGAAGGCAAATGTTTTGAAAATGATGATGGCAACAAATATACAAAGGTAGCTTGACACAATGGATGTATGTATGGATTGTGATAAGAATTGTACGAGCCCCCAATAACATTTAAAAAAAGAGGAATACCCAACATGTGTCAGCTATTATTATGAGCAATATTATAATCAGAAATGTAAGCAATAAATAATGTGTTACAGGTAATCTATTTCTAAGCATTCTTAGATCTTCTTACTTATTCCTTTTTCTTTTTTCCTTAAATTCTTTTTTTTAACTTATTCCTTTTTCACTCTTTCTCCTGAGAAGAACATATTGAGCATGTGTGTAGTTACTTTAAAAACAAAAAAAAGAAAAAGTTAAGATCGGATTTTGTTTCAATATTTTTGTTGTTGTTGGTCATTATTTCTAGGCACTCGTTTAGCTCAGGTTTAGGAGGTGGCATAGTGGGTTAGGTGTTGGCCTTCAAACCGTAGAGTCAGCAGTTTGAAACCATTAGCCACTCCAAGGGAGAAAGAGGAGGCTTTCTACTCCTGTGAAGCGTTGCAGTTTCAGAAACATACAGAGAGCAGATCTATCATGTCCTATCAGATCACTAGCATCGGAATCCATTTGATGGCAGTGAGTTTAGTTAGATTTAGGCTGGTTTTACAAAACTCTTTGGCTGGGAAACAAACCTTAAAACAAAACTGTGTTAAAGGTACAGATAGGCTAAGATGATGAAAATTAAGTGAACGACCTCTATATTATGTGAATGATGCAGTATATGGATTATTTAATTGCATCCTTCCTGATCATGCACTTGTAAAACCCCAAGAGATCCTGAGTTAATATCAGTAGTGATGAGAAATACCCGTGCCATGCACTTTTTCATATATATGGTGCTCTGGGCTGCATTGCATCACTTCTGTGGTCTTCCTGCCAGAAAGCGTGTAACCTGAACTTAATCATGAGGAAATATCAGACAAACCCAAAGTGAGGGATGTTTGACAAAAACAACAACGGAGAAGTACATTTTCAAAGGGTCAAATGCATGGAAGGCGAGGAAAGACAGAGAAACGACTCTAGATTGGAGGAGAGCATGAGACACGTGACTTAGTGTAAGATTCTTGGATTCTGAATCAGAAAAAGGACCTTAGGGAGATAATTAGAAACATTTGAATCCTTAGATATTTATAGCTTGTTATTAGGTGTGGTTGCGCAGATTCTGACTCACATTCCACCACTGGTCTTGTGGTTTGAGATATCACCACCTGCTGGTATGGTGAGCTTTCCCCAAATCTCTGCCCTCTTGGTTAAAGAGCTACTTTAGGAAGTTCAAGGAGCCATGCTGGTGTAGAGGGTTGGTTACCTGTTGGTCTGCTAACCACAACATAGGCAGCTTAGATGGGGTTTTCGGCTTCTATAAAGATTGACAGCCTTGGATACCCACAGGGGCAGTTCTACCCTGTCCTAGGGTCACTAGAAGTCAGAGTTATTTGTTGAGTTTTAGGAATTTCCCTCATTCCATTCATGGAAGCCTTTATAACTCATTGGCTCTTCATGACTACTCTATGTGCTAAGTGGTATTTTATTTATTTTAAGATGATGAAACAGAGACTCAAAACAGTTAAGTGGCTTGTTTAGGGTTGCGAAGTTAGTACGAAGCCAGGGTTTGGATGAAGGTCCTTTGACTTTAAGACAGTGCCTTCCTTTTTTTCCTATAACGCCGCAGCAGTGTGAAAGTGTCTGGGACAATGAGGGGGAAGAGATGGTGTTTAGTCCCAGTCTGCTCCTAATTTACTGCATATGGGAGGCCATGAGAATTCGCCTCTCTGCGTTTTAGTGCTCTTGTGTGTGAGACAGCTATAATACCTACTTTACTGCCAAAGAATAAAATGAGATAATGGAGGCAAACCCTCTTTGGAAAGTTCAATGAGGAGCCAAGGAACCGGATTGAATGTTGATTCTTGTACTCTTACGTTTATG